TTTGCTTAGTTTTGTGAAAAAAAGTAAAAGTTTAAATGTTTTCTCTCTGTATAGTAGAGTACTAATTATGAACCATAATATGCAAAATTTCTACAGTTTGTTTTATGACTTCTGACTTGCCTAAAATATGACATGACTTTTTATTATTAATATATCCTGTTTAACCATTTCTTGGATTATCTCACCTTGTTTGCCAAGGAACTTTCCCCAATGTCTACGAGGTGTTGTATAAAGCAGTATAAAAAGAAAAGTCACAAAGCTTCTTTTTTTTTCTTTATATCTTTGATCACAGGTTGCCATCAAGATTTCATGGAGAGGGTTTTTCGTCCTTAGGTGAATCACGTGTCACATATAACACACTACACTATCTCTTGCTTGAAAAATCATCATGCAACCCAAACATCTACGTTACAACCTCTGTTTTCAACACATGAAAAATACCCCAGTTCAAGAAACTGGTCAATGTTGCTACAAACTGGACTCCTGAAACAAATGGGTACCCAAATGTCATTACAAGTTTTTCAAAGAAATATATTCTAAATAAGTAGATTGTTGAAGAATGAATTTCTCTTTAATTTTTTCAGCTATGGAACACTTTGTTCTGTATGTAAGTACATATAAAATCCATCTATGTGTTGAATTAATTTATTTTTATTATAAAATTATTAAAAAAATTTTATTTTTTAGAAATGTTGATGATTTCTCTGTGAAATTTATTTTGGATTTACCTAGCATATGTACTATATTTGGTCGTATATCATCCACATATTTTACCATCCACAGGAATCTTGGATTGTGAAACCTATCTAATGAGGTTCTATTGTACATTGTTTGTCAACTATGCATCAGGTCTGTAGTCATTTATTTCTTTTCATGTTCATAGAAAAAAAAAAAAACCTGAAACATTCAGAAAGTTTTCTTTGCTTCTTGGTTTTTTTTCTGAAAAAAAGATATTACAAATGTCTTGTATGTTTATCTACTTTACTTTTTACAATATTGTAAAATATTTTAGACACCGAAAAGATTTTTCAGACTTGGTAAATGATTCTACATAGTTATGCTTGCTTTGATTCTTGACTACTATTACAATTGGTACACCCCAATATGATTTGAACACACTTTCTTTTGTCATTTGGTAAGGTTGTTAGACTACTGTATAGAAAGTTCAATTATCACCTGTCTTCTGTATTTAACAATATTGTTTTTCCTGACTTACAATGCATTACTCTAGAAAATATTTATGGATTAAACATTAAATAACCCTATTTGGCCAGTCATGTCGGGAGGCATTACTGTTGTTTTCGTGATATATTTTCAATAAAGCTGACAATTACTAACTCACAAATTGGATGTTAGGTAGACCAGAGCACAGCAGAATCAGGCAGGGTTAAACTGACCGCTATAAGCTTTTTACAAATAAACTGTTATTGTTTCAACAAGCAAGAGTCAGTTGTCTGTTATGAAAGTTGCTTTTTTTGTTACTTTTCTTGCAATTCACCCTCTTCACTCCTAAGACTTCTTCAGATCAAAACTTAAGCACAATATAGACAGTTGTTGTGTATCTTCAGGACGTAGGTGATCATGGCCCTTCACATCTTCCTGTCCCTTGTAGCTCTTAATAAGTTTTGTCTTTTTGTTATTTCTCCCAAACCCTGTTCTGCCATCCATTTGCTCAAGCCTACCAAGTATGTCACATATTGCTTCCCTCTGTCTTGTGAGTATCAGATTTTTCAAGCCCTCCTTCCTCATTACATGCCCCAGAATTTTCAACTGCCCCTTCCTGATGTTAAGTATAAGTTTCCTTTTTTGTTTTCATTCTTTCCAAAATATCTTCATTGCTTCACTCACATGTTCGGCCCATGGTATCCTCAGCATCCTTCTATAGAACCACATTTCTCTTGTGTTGTGCCTCTTCATCTTTGAGGAGATTGTCCAGAATTTGCTGCAATACAGAAAGATAGATATCACGTAACAGTTCAGTTTCCAACAAGATTTTCCTGTCTTAATATTCTGCTTAGCTTTTGGACTGAATCTTTGGCTATGCCAATATATCTTTGGATTCAGTGTTGCACTTTCCATCCCCTGTTAGAACACTTCCCACATATTTAAATTTCTGTAGCTGCTTGATTTTAGTATCCCTGACCAGTAATTTTCATTTTGGGCTCATCTTTTTGTTGATGACCATGCATTCTGTCTTGTTGTAGTTTATGCTTCTCGCTTTCCTTTGCTACCTTCTCTAGGAGGTTTTGTAGTTTCCTTTCTATGTCTGCTATCAGCACTATGTCATCTGCATATCTTATATTGTTAAGATTGTTGCTGCCAATAATGAATCCTGGTAGGATTTCTAATTCTCTCAGGATTGTCTCACTGTATAGGGTGAATAAATCTGATAAGAAGACACATGCTTGTCTTACACCCCTTTCTATTTTTGTATATCTTCTGAACTTGTTTCCTGTCCATATGCAGGCAGTTTGCTGCCAGGATGTCTTGATTATTCTAATGTCTTTCCCGAATATGTCAAGGTTGCTGAGCAGCTTTAACAGATCTTTGTGTTGCACTTTGTCAAATGCTTTTGTGTAGCCTATAAAACATAGGTGCACATCCTTCTGCATTTGTATTGCTCTTTCTGATAACATTCTGAGCATAAATATTGCATTCCTTGTTTCGGTGTCTTTGATGAACCTGAACTGTTCTTGTCCTATCTCTGGTCTGATTCTGCTGCATGCTGTATTCATCAGAATTCAGATGAGTTTTTTTATGTGACTCATTAGGCTAATTTTCTGGTGGAGTTCATATTCGTTTGTGCCTGGTTTCTTAGGCAGTGCTACGAAAATAAATCAGCGTAGGTCTTCTAGTATATCACCACTGTTGTAGATTTCATTTATTATCATCAGAGTGAATTGCTTGAGTAGCAGCACCAGGACAGGGAAAACAGACAGGGATGTTTTTATACAAGTCTTCTCAACTTGCACAAACTCTTTGTATTCTTGTCAATTTCAACAGTGCTGTGGTCAAACTTGTCTAAGCAGCAGTAGGTTTATAGCTAAAGCAAACAGCTTACTAATATAGTGACCAAAGATAGTGACTATTACAAGATAAAGAATGGAATTTGTTATAAAACAAAAAAATTGAAATGTCTAAATCTATTAAAATTTATAAAAAATATTGCATCATTATTTTCAGATTATCCTGGTAAATATAAAAAAAACAGGATTCACTACCATCATCACTACTATTATCACCATCACCATGACCCCCAACACTACCACCACCACCACCACTTTGCAAATGCTGGTTGACATGTAATGTTTTATGTAACTAGTCATCAATGGAATATTTTAAGTCTTTTTTATATATATATATATATATTATTTTTAATCAATTAACTGCAAGCAAGGTAATAATGCCACTATGACAAAAGAGAATGAGAAAATTTTAGAAGGAGCCAGAAACCTAATCCTAAACTGGGAACAAGGGATAAACCTCTACTCTTATTCAAAAGCCTTGGCAGGATGGGGGTGAACAGACTATAAATGAGCCTACCTACTCCTATGGAGGAATTAAAAAAATAAATAATAAATAAAATTTCAGAGTTTAGATAGACATTAGAAGTATAGTGTTGAAGTAGATTTTAGAAGGAACTGGAAACCCAATCCTAAACAGGAAGCAAGGAATAAACCTTTACTCTTGTTCAAAAGGCTGGGGAGGGTTGTGAACTGGACTATAGGTGAACCAATCTACTTCTATTATTGCTATTAGACTTTTTATTTATGAATCTTTCAATACATTTTCCAGTTATTAATATGTACTAATTCTGAGGGGGGAATCACTATTATTTATGACACTCAAAAAATAAACCCCAACTTTATGTCCAGTAGAATATTAATACCATTAATAAAAAAATGAAGACATATTTTGTCAAGTCTTTACTATGATTAGTTTTTCTCATTACACATTACGTTTTTGCTTTTGACATATTTTTCTCCAGTTATTATATTTGACCCATTTGTGCATCCATACACTGATATCCTGACTGCTTTCTTTTTTGGTTTTGGTCTTTTCTAGATTTAGGATATGGTCTTTTCTTTGCATTATTCATTCAAACAATTTGCTGTTCTAATAAAAATATCACTATTATCTGGTATCACCAGCATAAGGTAATTTGTTATCTTCCTTGCACTAGTGACATTAAAATTTAAATTTTCCAAATAAAAAATAAACAAATACATTTAGGATATTTGTATGAGAGGGGGTGCTGAAAAATTTACCCCCCCCCCAAGCTCCAAAAATGTTATGTTTGATTATTTGGTCAGATTTTGGGAAGTGGGTCAAGTTAAGTCTTTGTTCAATTAGGAGTCATTTTTCTTTGATCATAGCCTGTTAAAAGGCTGGTTTAGGTGTTGCTAGCTTAAAATTTATTTTAGATGGTAGTCAGGGAATGCAAGGAGTGAACAGAAGAAAATGGCGGCATACTTTTGATGGCCAAAGCACACTTGAGTCATATGCTGCTTTTGTTAACAAACAAAAAAACAAAACAAAAATGCCTCTCCACTGAATGAAGTCAGTGAACATAGAAATCTGTTTCACTCCTAGCTAATTGCAGTGCAAGTGTTGCCGAGTTGAATAGACTACTTTAAGAACATGCAAATCAATTTTACTCCCAACCAATCATAAAATGTAGTGAGTAGACTGCACTAAAAACTTCTGATTTTTCTGCAATGGTAATAATAATCTTCAACACTCTGGACAATTTCAACAAAAATTGAGTGCATGCAGTGAGTTTGGTTCACATGAAAGAAACTAGTATTGACTTTCATTTTTAGACACATTGTCATGATGTGGTGGCATTCTGTTCAAATCCTTCCCTGTCTAGTTTAGATAGAACAATACTCCTAGCTAGTCGAATGATAACAGGTTCTGTATCCCTCAACATTCAATCTATGTTGATCCTATTCAAAATCCTGATTTCTCCAGTTTTTTTTATCCCACAACTAAGGCACTTGCAGCCACATCATGTTTTAACACTAGTTCCCGTACAATCACCGAGGTTAAGCAACACCAAGCCTGGTCAGTACTTTGATGGGTAACTGCTTGGGAATACCAGGTGATGTAAACATGTATGTGTGGTTTGTCATATATAAGAGCTTGGGATTGTTAATTGGTGAGCAGAGTTCCAATTCCAGTTGGGTTCGTTATATTCACTTACAAGCAAATACTGTTGGGGATAGTTACAAATTCACCATTCCCCACCCTCAGCTATGGGTTAATTAGTAAAATTTGTATCACTAAATCATTATTTTCAAAAAATAAAAAATTCTTACAATCTAAAAATATTTTCTGTCTTTAAATAACCTGCAAAAGGGTTGATAAACCATAGAAAATGAATGAATAAATCAATTATGATTAAGGTGCAGATTTTTCGGATTTTTTTTATCTCCACTCTCTCTAGCAATTAGAAAGTGTGCCTCTTAATTCTGCTATCTGAATACAGGGACCCTGGCTCTTCCTTATGGATTGGGTGGGTCTCCTGCTAATTCTACCCACTACTTTTGTTTATTTGTACCACAGAAGTTTTGTGATTCCCACCCCACCACCCACCCAACACAAATCATACATTATTTATATCATTCAGACTATTATCCTCTTCTTCATTGCCATATTCACAACATTTCGACCGATATATGCTCTGGCCTTCTTCAGGTGATTGGAATTTCGAACCAAACCCTTTATTTCATCCACCGGGGTAGATTGTTCTAGTGAATATGGCAATGAAGATGAGGATAACAGTCCAAATAATATAAGTAATGTAAGTAATCATAATACCTCATTTCAGAGATATAGACAGACAAATCATATAATTATATATATTACTTCATTGGTCTCCCCCCCACAAAAAAAAACATTATGAAAAAAAAAAAGAAAAATTCTATATATATTGTTATAACTTCATGCTTGCTTTAATTAGGTCCATAGAGCAAATGAAGTATTTTGGTATTTGTTTGAATTGAATAAAGATGAATAAATTGTTAAGGTAAATGTAATAGTATCAAGATGTATGCCTTGTTAATGAGACTAACTAGGAGTAGGATAGTTAGTGATGACCAACCTTTTCCCTCTCCCTCAATTATGGCCTTGTGCCAAGACGGATCCATATTACTTCAAATAAAATTAGTAAACTTCAATAAAGTGGCTGTGATCGAAGCAAATTTCACAACTTTTGAGAAATTCTATTCATCCTTTTAATCTCAATTTTTTTTTTTTTTTTTTTTTTAAAGTAAACCTTAGAACAATTCATTTAATTTTCTACACCTATGAGTAGTGGCTACCAACTATAATTAAAATACAACTAACCCAATTATACAAGGTCTGATAAAAAATGTATCAGGACTGTTGCTATAGGAATGGAGCTAAACTGCACAGAGCAAAGCCACTTGGCCCAGAACTCTGTTGTGCATATACATTAAGTTATAATGTTCTTTCTCACTTCTATTGTTTATAGCAGTGATTGGAAGGAAAGTGTGTAGAGTGTGGTTGTCTCACCACACCACAGAGATTCCATCAGTGACCATGGCTTGTGCAGCAGTTTTTGCCTAAGAACAACATTCCTTAGGTTTGACAACTACTATATTCCCCAGATCTTACACTTTGTGACTTTTTCCTTTTCAAAAATCAAATCCCACTTGAAAACACAAGATTTCAAGACATCAAGGAAATCAAAGAATGTGACAAGGCAGCTGCTTGCTATCCCAAAGAACAGTTCCAGGAATGCTTTCATCAATGGAAATGATGATGGATAAAATGTATCACTTCAGAAGGGGACTACTTTGAAGGAGAATGTTATTGTTTTCTTTTTATAGCACTAATATTAATACTTTTTGATCAGACATCATATGTAATAATGCTATTCTCCATTTTACCTTCTTTTTAATGACTGAGGTAACAGCATCTTGCCCACTTCTGTCAAGGTCAGTATAAAAAGCTCCTGATTTGAAAGATTAGAACAATACAATCTTTCTCTTTTAATAAGGTATTGTGCCAAACAGTGCTAAGCTTATTTAATATCCATATATTTTGATTAGGGACAATGGGCATTCATCCACTACATCTTTGCAATGGCTACAATACAAAACAATTGATATATTTGAATAACACCACAAAAAAGAAATCATTCTAAAAGCTGATAAAAAAAGAACATTAAACTATATAATGTATATTAATGACCATTTTTCTGTTGCCATAATGTATATGTACTTGAAAGAATCAGCCCACATACAATAGTCAGATAATTCAATCAGCAGACAAAATACTGACATTAGTAGCTTGTGGGGGAACCATTAAACAAACAAGAATAGATGAAGAACTTGGAGTTCCATAGGCATGTCTCAAGTGATTTGAGCATGTGCAAAGCTCAATGGGAGATCACAAGGCCAGTACAGAGGTTGGAAGGAGACAATTTCAGGAACAGCAATGCAAAAAGGAAACAAAAGTGACATTGTTTTATGATATGATTTGCTAAATCTCCCAGAATAAGACTTAAGAAAGTTCCAAAACACAATAAACTTCTAAAGAAGTCTGGAAGATAAAGAGCTGAAATATGAAATAAAAAAAATAAAATAAAAAATAAGACAGACTAGCAGTTAGTCTGAACAAATTAAATACAATGTAACTTGTTTATATCTAAAAGGTTATAAATGCAATGTAACACTGCCTTATTCTTTGTATGGAGACAATGGTGGAATAATGATTCACAGCTCAGATTGAGGAATCGGAGAGCCAATTTCAAATTCCAGTTGAGTTTATTGCATTCACTTATATTCTAATACTCTTGGGAAAAGGTATGCATCTATCTCTTCTCACCTCAGCTATGGTTAAAATAGCAGGACAGACTGGGTCCCATAGCCTTGGATGGCAATCAGTCTAGAAAAAGAAAACTCTGTCTTAAAAAGTGTGTATACATACAGCTGGAAACTGCTTGTGAATCCACTTCCCATTGAAACTCAGATTAGCAGATCCTGGGATGCAGTGTTAAAAGGAAACCAAAGTTCCACAGAGAATGAGAGAAATTAACTATTCTTTGTATGCCAAATGGAGACTTTGGAGTTTCTAAAAAAATATAGGCTTTATAAATGTTTCCAAGATTTTATATCCCTAATCTCTAGTTAGTGAAATAAGTTTTAATTTAATTTCATTCTAAATTGTTTAATATTGTTGTATCCCTAAAGAAGTTACAAACAGACAAAGGTGGTACTCGAGTGAAGAAACAGCAATATGCGTGGAGATGAAAGAAAGAGAGGTTTATTGTAAAAGAGAATACACTACTGAAAGACAGGCTCAGGTGGTAAGCTAGTACTTCCTGAAGCAAGCCCCCAGGTATATCATGTGCTCACCATATACAGATACTGATATAGTCAGTGCACATAGGCAATAGGGAGTGTGGAACATTCATTCCATTACAACAAATATTTATCAAGAAATATTTAATTTGATACTCCCTGCATGTTTATTGAAAAGGGGTAAAGATTTGTACCTTGTTTTCTGTTTAGGATATGGTTTACTGGTTCCTTTCTTCCATAGCCTGCCTTACTAATTCCTGTTCTTTTAATGTTTTGGTTTTCTCATATTCTTTCACACCCAAAAACTCCTTTTATCTTAGTGGCTTTATTGCCTTACTTGGGATAAAATGATTAAAAAGAATTTGAAAAGAACAAAAAAGAACCCTTCATTTATGACAAATTAGCAATTTGCTTGCTTCAGGCTGGAACAGGTGGACAGCTTCAGATGTTACTTAATTAACACTAATGACTCTCCATGACAACCTGGTATTTATTTAGAAGCCTCTGTCTTTGTAATTACTAAACGTTATCAAAAGTATTCTATTACAAAGGCTTTATACATACATATACTTGATAGTATACACAATTTTCTCTACCTGTTATTTGGAGGACCAGATCTCAGACCTCTACTCAATACGTGCAATCATTTTAGATGTTTAATTTCTGTATGTGTGTGTATAAAATAATAGATGTCTCAATTGTTTTTCTCTGTTCGTTATTGTCAATCAAGATGGACAATTCTTTTGATTAGACTATCTCATGTAATTATTATCTTTTCTTTCAAAAGAATTCATTAATGGGCCAGCTAACAGGAAAAAAAATTGACATTATGTTTATGACTCTTCAAACTTGCAATGGAGTATAGCAGACATTATGCTATTTTTTGTTCAAGCCTGAATTGTCAAAATAAAAATATCACATAAGAATTTGAGTTGCATCATTTTTAACCAATCAGAAAAGAGAAATAACACTGTCCAATCAACGAACAGCTCATTAAAATTCTTTCTGGAGATTGTTGAAATTTATAAATAGTTGAAATTCATAAGTAGTTGAAATTCAACTTTATTTATTAGATATCGGTTTGTTTTCTTCTGAGATAATACTTACTGCCAGACTGACTTAGTCGACACTGCTATGGGCCCTGCATTTTCAAGGGCCTCACCACATTAAATACTCTCAAGCTGTCAAATGAAATCAGCATCTTATATCTGGCAATGTTAACATTCACATGTCAGGGGAGCTGCATCTTTAATTATTCATCATTTCAGGTAACATTATCTCGAGACTGTTAAATCTACTCAAATATCTTGTTAGAATCTCGTAGTTTTCTGGCTTTGTTTATTATATTAATAGAAGTTAAACATTTACCTCTTTTATAAGGTCTGTCACTATGCTAGTAAATAATTCATGATTTAATACTTATGTGTACTTCTTTAATTTAGGGCCTCTTTTTAACATATGCTACAGGCCCTGCACTAACTTAATCTGGTCTTGATAACACTGCATGTATTTTAACCAATTTACTCACTTTCATATCATTTATATTCAGTGTTTCTGAAATTCTGCTAAAGTGAATCTACAATTCAACAACCTTTTTTGGATACATCTGCTAGCATGTGATCAGCATTTTAGTAACTCCTTGTAATAGGTTTGTTGAATAGATGTCTTTGTCAAATGTCTCTTTCACTTAAGGTCAGTTTATCTGCTGCTGTTACTACTTTTCTTCTCATACAAGACAATCAATCAATTTTGATTAAGGACTGATTTGTGTTTTATTGCC